TAGCGAGGTGGAGGTCGGTCTGTTCTCCCTAGTAACAAGGGATAGAACAAGGGGAAATGGCCTTAAGCTGCACCAGGGGAGGTTCAGGCTGGATATTAGGAAGAATTTCTTTACTGAAAGGGTTGTCGGGCATTGGAACAGGCTGCCCAGGGAGGTGGTGGAGTCACCGTCCCTGGAGGTGTTTATGAGACGGGTAGATGTTGTACTTAGGGACATGGTTTAGTGGTGTTGGTAGAGCTAGGACAGAGGTTGGACTCCATGATCTTGAAGGTCTCTTCCAACTGAAACTGTTCTATGATTCTATGATTGCACTACTTAATGTTTCTATTTTATCATATGTTTTGCAAAATGGTGTTATTTCTTTTTAGAGTAGGATTTGAAATTAGGGTCTGAAGTCACTTACAAGAACTCTTAAAGAGATCATGCTGGCTAGTGTTTCATAGCTGCAAGTCTTTAAAGATCACACAAACAACAAAGAGGGTATTCAGGAAGGAACACTGCAAAATTAGTTTCAAAAAGTTGCATAGGAATTCTACTATCAAAACAAATTTTGTTTCAATATTTTGCTAATCCCACTTACCATTTCATAAAGTTTTGTGTAGACTTTAAAATTTGTTTTGAATTCTACATGAGATGTTCATCTCCATAATGTGACCACTAGCAACAGTGATACCATGATGAGGCATACAAATAGGAAATTTTAATCCAAAACAAAATTGTGAAATGCGGTTTTTGAGATAGAAAAGTATTTACAAAGTTTCTCTGAGTTCTTTATTTTTCTTTATAGATGCAGTGCCTTTGAGTGTGGGGTTTCTGCAAAACCTGTATTCCTTACTTTGACGTCACAGCAGCAGGATGTTGCAGCTGTAGCATTAGTTTATGAGGGCAGATATAAAAGATTTCTTGAAGACTGCTCAACAGTTTATCAAAGTTCACTGAAATGTACTTGAATGTTAATGATCTGTGTGCCTTCATTGGGGGAGGGGAGCACAGAGGGAGGAAAGAAATGGCACTTGTTTTACTTTTTGGAGGACCTAATTCTCTATATAACTTAATTTTGCATTTTTCTGGTACTTTCCTGCAACTCGTGTTTCACAGACCTAGAGTCAATATTGCTCCAATGGATATTGCTGAAATTTTAATTACTTGTGAAGTTACTGTTTCCTTTGTACTTCTCAGGATGAAATTGACAGTTTGAGGAGGTAATAATCTAAGGGATACTTTATAGCAAACATTTTACAAAGATTTAGGTTAGGCACACTGGTACTAAATGCAGGAGCAAGGAGTCAAGAGCAGAGAGCAAAAAAAACGAGGCAACATACGTGCTGCTCACTTTTACCTGCCACAGGCAAGAAGAGTCTGTGAATTAAGATTTTCATGAAGTAAAGAGTAGGGCGAAAAACAGAAGAGAGCCAAGAACAAGTCTGAGGATCTTATGAAAGACTGGAAGAGGGGTAAAAAGTATTCACTGAAGTGGTAGATAGTAATTGACTTGAAAGGGTAATGAGCCAGTATGTCCTGTTGTCCTGTTTACAAGAAACAGAGGTTGTGGAGTCTTTATCCCTGGAGATATTTAAAATCTGCATGGACATGGTCCTGGGTGGCTGTCTCTGGATGGTCCTGCTTGAGCAGCAGGGTTGGACTAGATAGGGCCTCCAGAGGTCACTTCCAACCTCAACCATTCTGGTAGTCTCTTAGTTGAGGAGGAGTGGCAGGGGAGCGGGCTGTGTTTCACAGTTAACTCTGCTTAAATAATGCACCTGACAGGAACTTGTGCCTGTTGATCTGTGAGTCATCAAAACTTCTTAATAAGGTCCCCTAGGTATAGTCCAAGCCTCTGTACCATCCTCTTTGGAGCAACCATTACTGCATGTGCGTTGATTTTTGGAAGGGGAGAAAGAAAAGGAGATTAGGGCTTGAGTGGAGCTCAAAATAGTATTATCTCTTGAAATGTAGTGCCTGTAAGTGGAGTCTGTGGGGCATTTGGTGATGGTTTCCATGGAGTTCTTACTTCAGAGGTGAAGGCCGTGGAAGTATGTTAGCATTTGGTGAAAAAGGTTTCCAGAATCTTAGCCTGCTTCCATTTAGGCACTTTGGGTGTATTAAATGATGACTGTTTTCTCAGTACTACCTTGCTATGTAGGTAATTCTTGTGGCAACCACTTCTTTGTGTGAGCCTGGACTCTGGAGCAGGAACACAATGGAAGCAGCAGGAGTTCGTAATCCCATTGCCCTGTTGTTTCTGTTTTTGTACTCTGTTGTATGTTGCTGTTCCAAGTCCAGCGTTGCATAAACATTAATTTTTTGTATTTTGGGATTAGCTCCTTTCAAATACAGAATTATTTCGTCACTGAATTGTACTTCAGATCGAGAAAGCTGTATATAGTATTGCTTTAGCTATTTGCTAGCAACTTCGTAATGGTAGGGTTTCTTTGTTGGATGCTGGTCTTTATAGTTGCGTCAAGAACCCTCCTGTATCCGTAGCAGCACTGTGGACTTCTTATTGTGCATGGGTATAATGCACAACAAAAAATATTAAAAAAATCTATTGCCTGGGATTTCTGCAATAGCTTTGGTTCCTATATTTTCAGTTTTCTAGAGAGAGAGAGTGGAAGAGCAATGTATAAGATCAGAATTAGATGCAGATTATCCGCCTAATATGGTTCTCGTTAGCACAAATAATATGAATACCGTTTGGAGAACAAACGGATTATAGAAAAAGAAATGAAAACATCCAGATCCTAAGCATTTGGAAAGCATGACACTGATGTATTTGCGTAACCTTTTCATCAAGAGCTATGCTGAAGTCAAAGAGGGGATTTTGATTTCCTTCATTAAAAGCTTATTAAATGAAGAAATAGGACAGTCGTTGTTTTGCTTCAGTAGTTGGGGGTCACAGAGGCGGGCCTGATCTCCTCGGGATATTAATGCCTGCTTTCAGCTGGGGGAAATGAGCCGTCGCTTGAGTTAGCTGCAGCTTTTTGTGCTCGTCACTAGGGATCCCCATATGTCCTGGGATCTGCGGCAGTCGGAAATGGCAGAGCTCGGCAGCAGGGAGCAGAGGGCTCTCATTGCTATTCATAACAGGTAGCTCGGCTCAGTCTGCCCAGAGCAAGTCTGTTTAATGTTGATCAGCTGTCCATCTGATAAACCGAATTGATATGGACATTTCCTCCAAGGGCTGCCCTGACAATGACAGCAGGAGCATCGGGATGTCTTGTTAGTCTTTTTCTCCAAGCTTGAAATCTTATTAACCCTTTGTTAGAGCCGAGCCAAGTGTGATTACAATACTGTGGCTGTAGGTTGTGTGTTTCTCCTTGCCTCTTTGAAAAACAGCATCAACCTTCAATTTTGTTTTCTACGTATTTTCTACATGTTTTTTTTTTTTTCAGATTGTTTTCCTCTGCATGGAGCAAAAATTGTGAATTATAAAGGCTGCTTTTAAAACAGCTTAGTTTTTTCTGTGTGACAATATACGTTGGGAACCTCTGTTTATCCTCTCCTCCCAGCTTGTCTACCTTATGCATGCCTGCCCAGGCTGTGTGACTCTACTAGATCTTCTCTGTTGCTAATTGGCGCAGATCACTGGCCTGAAACAGTTGCTGCTGGGGTTCTTCGCAGGTTAGATATATTTGGGGCAGAAGGTTACTTTAGATTAATATCGTTCCGGGTGGATACAACACATCTGCACTGTCCAGAGGAAGCAGTGTTAATTTACTCAGTACTGTGCTGGTACTGAGGCAGAATCGAACCTGAGCACATGTCAGCAGGTATATGGATACATGAAGGTATGGAGCCATCTGGTTACTGCAGTGCTTGGCCACTTTTGAATAAACACAGGGAGCGTATCATGTCTTTGCACTAGGTTGCAATTTAATTTGAACTTCAAGAACTTTTAGTCATCTATCTAGTTGAGGGTGCACATTGCGTTTTTGCTCATAAGTGAAGTCTCCATGACATAAAGGGAACTGTGAGTCAGAAAAGATGTGCATGTGCTGAAGATTTCGTAAGGAGAGGGGCCTGTGTGTATCTAGGTTTGCAGTGTTAAGAGGATGCTCCAGTGTGTTGCTCAGTTCCCCCCTCCCCTTGTCCCTGCTCAGTTATTATGTCTGTTCATCACCCTGTTGTATTTCTGAGCTAAGGTGACATCTCTGGGCTCCTTGGAGTGACAGTCACTAACTATCGGGGGCTTCACGGCTGAATTGTGGGAGGAGGGGAGGAGAGGGCTGTGCTAATGACTCGTTTCATGCCTTTTCCAAAAAATGAAAATAAATAGAGGGCAAGCCTCTCACAGGGATTTGAAACCCCTAAAATCAGAATGTAGCACAACTGTGTGTTGGAGTAAGACATGTTTTGTAAACCCGTCCAAATAAAATTGAGTCTGCCCCTTTGCTGGACAATCACCTTTGCTTCTTCCGACTAAAACAACCAGTGAAATACCATTAGTACACGGTTTTAAGATACTCAACTGTTTCTCCTCTCCCCCCTGCACCCTCCTCCCTTAGTATGGTTGAACTGCAAGGTATCCTGTTATTAATTTAGCTCTAATTTGAGCAGTCGTTGACTGCAGCATTCTTATGGTGTTCGGATCAGCTTGCTTGCGACTCCCCTGCTGATACATCCTTTGTTCCTTCCTATCGGTACTTTCTGCTTGGCATTTTCTTCATGTCAGTGTCCCTCAAGCTTCTAGAAGACAAAACAAAAAAAGCAAGCGCCATGAGGGCTGTATTGATTACTTAGCTTTATTTTGTGAAAGAATTCAAACAAAGGGCAACATTCTTCCAAACAGAACCTGTGGTACCTGCAGCTTACCTGGAAATACTTAGTGATAGTTCTCTGTGCTTAACACCTCCTGGTTGTGGCTTCTAGAAGTACACAGAAGAGCCTCACAATAATTCATAAAATATCTGTTTAGCACATGTAGGGGTTTTTTTTCTTCCTCCTAAGAATCTATATTTTATTCATAGTATCAAAAATAACTGTACTTTCTTTGCTTTCAGTCAAAGAAGCCTGGCTGAGATTACGGAACTGATCCACACTGCCTTTCTGGTGCATCGTGGCATAGTGAATATTGGTGAGCTCAAGTCCTGTGATGGCCCGCTGAAGGATATGCAGTTTGGAAATAAAATGGCTGTTTTGAGTGGAGATTTTCTTTTGGCAAATGCTTGTACGAGCCTTGCACAGTTGCAGAATACCAAGGTAAAAAGAAAAAAATTCTTCTACTGCCAGAGCAAGTAATTATTAGTGAATTTTCTGAAAGAGGGGCCCTTTAAAAAATCAGCAGTTACGATATGGATGGGTATATGGAGCATCCTTTAAAAATCAGTGTACTTACATTATAGCTGCAGATTGACAGGTTGCTGCTGCTGTGAACACGTTTACAACTGTCCTATAGAGTTACTGTGATGAGGCCTTTAACGTGCATTCTGAAGCACTGTAGTAATGGATGAGTGGTTAATTTGGTGAATTTAATATATATGCAGTAGCATCCTCATGACATGGCAGACTGCAACATCTCTGGCAGACTGCCAGCTAAAGATGTGTTGGTTTATTATTTTGTTTTACCTTGTGCTTTGTGAAAGGTTTGGCTGTCTTAGGGAATTCTTGGGGGAAAAGGCTTCATTTCTTTGACTATGCAGCACTCAGGTGACTTTTTACTCTTAATAGAATCACTTTGTTAGGCATTTGGATGCCCCTGAGTATTGGATTGTCCTATTAACATGGATGTACTGGCTTCTAAAGGGCAACTGCAAGCCAGCTGCTCAGCCAAACTGTTTGAAACTTCACAGCGAAATGTTTTTCATGACAAGCGAATTGTATATATGTACGATCTTAGAAAATGAGACTGATGGAGACCTTAAGAGATCATATCTCTGGTTGGTTCTTCTTTTCCCCAGATAGGTTCAGCTACACCAAATCATTCTTGGCATGTGTTTGTCTAGCTTGTTCGTAAAACTTCCCATGGTGGAGAGAGATTCCTGGGAATCCCTGTGCCAGTCTGGTGTAACACCTAACTACAGGTATGGCTGAAGAGCCTAGTGTGCCATTACAGTGGAAACAGAAAGCAATTCTTTTTTGCAAGGGTACTTTTTATACATCTGAAGATTGCTGTCATATCATGATGTAAAATAAATGTTTGTCATGCATGCAATTGTCAATATTCAACATGGTTTTGATCCTGAGCATAAGGAGTCTATTGTTTTTAGATTCTCATGCTAAAGCTCCTCGTGATGGTAGTTGAGTATTTCTGTACTGCTTTGATCATGACTGTGACAGTTTCTCTCAAAAGTCATGTCATTTTGAAACATAGAGATTCAGGAGAAGAGACAGGAAATTAGATGTCAATCTGTTGGAATAGTGGGTTAAGCTGTTATGGTGATAACTGGTAGTAAGTAGTAAAAAAAAGTTTTAAATAGTGCAAAATTTTAGTCATACCATAACCAAAATTGGGTGTGACTGATTTTACTAATTATTGTTGATCTGTATTTGTTCATTTTTTTCAGTTCTTAGTAAGATGCTCAAGAGAGACCAAAGGAATTAACCCTACATCAATTTTTTGTTTCAACATAAGGGGAAACTTTTATAAAATGTAGCACCTATTACTTTGCATTTAGTACATCATTAAGTATTGCAGCAGCAATGTATAATCCCTGAAGACTTGCCATGGTACAGTGAAATGAAGCGCAAGTGCAGAGAAGTACTTTTTTTTCTTTAAAAAAGCAATTATTATACTGCATGTCGGAAAATTCTGCCAAAACATTTTAGCACTTTTTTTCATTTTTCTGACATCTAAATACTTTCATAGCTTCTACATACGATAAGTGGGATGCCATTATGGAAACTGATTGACTTAGTAAATTATTCTTTTTCATATGTCTAATCCTACTAGCAAAGTTAGAAAAATTGAAGTACAAGCTATAGAAATCTCTTGACAGGTGCAATGATTTAAACATACTGTATTTATTCTTTTGTAAATGATGATTTTTCAAATCTGGCATCTGTTTTTCACTAGTGTGAAATAACTGTGACTTTTTTCCTTCATAATGTTTTGTTTTCTTTGATGTAAAAAGTAAAAATCAGTACTGCTTTTTTGCTGGCATTTATTTGGTAGCTCGGCAAATTGACTAATGAAATAAGTGGTAATATATCGCACATGTGCTGACCATGGTAGGCTATAACCTCTATAGACATGCATAGCTGTTGTATCTACTAGAATTTAAACTAAAGGGGGTTTTATCGTTAACTGAAACAATTGCTACCAAGATAATTTTATTGTGCTGTTAAACTCTTGTCTGAGCTTGTGTACAATGCATTTATCTCTGTGCTTCTCTCAGGGCTGACAATTAGATGTGAAATTCTGTAGTCATAATGAAATGCAGAGCTATTTTATAATTGCCAAGGGTAAAATTAGCAAAGTCAATTATTTTCCCTTAGGCTTTTCCCTGAAGATATTAAAAGGCTGCAAGGTAATTGCCTTAGGTAACACTTTGATTTTTAAATAACATTAAATATAGGAATTGTTGTTGTTAATTCGTAGTAATTTTCCTCTTCTTGCTGCTGTTGTAGAATATAACTGTAATGATGTTAACAAGATTCAGGGCTCAGGGTTTATGGTTTTTTGGGGGTTTCTTTAAACGAGTGCTTATACTTCTCATATGTTTGCTAAAGTTATGCAAAAGAAAGGGTATGGAGGGTGTTTCAGTGTGGTTTTTTCTTTTTTAAATATCTGAGGTACAAGGACTCTAGATTTCTTGAAATTTCCATTAGGAAGCCTCCTGTAAGATAAATTCTGCTGTCATACTATTATGAAGTCATCTAGAATTTTGGGGTTTGAACACAAATAATAATTCAGAAGAAAGCATTCTCATTTTCTACTTTGTGAAATTCTGAGACATTAATTGTGATTACAAAGTTGGTATTGGCTGAGGCTTAAAATAAAGTACTGAAGGGCAGATGCAATTGCATGCTGCATTTTTGTAATCATGGCAAAGTTGAGTCGAGGCAATCCCAAGCACAGATACAGGCTGGGCGATGAGAGCAGTCCTGGGGAGAAGGACTTGGGGGTGCTGGTGGATGGTAAGATGAACATGAGCCAACAGTGTGCGCCTGCAGCCCAGAACGCCAACCAAGTCCTGGGCTGCATCAAGAGAAGTGTGGCCAGCAGGTCGAGGGAGGTGATTCTGCCCCTCTACTCTGCTCTGGTGAGACCCCACCTGGAGTGCTGCGTCCAGCTGTGGGGCCCCCAACAACAGAAAGACATGGAGCTGTTGGAGCGAGTCCAGAGCAGGGCTACCAAGATGGTCAGAGGGCTGGAATACCTCTCCTGCGAGGACAGGCTGAGAGACTTGGACTTGTTCAGCCTGGTAAAGAGAAGGCTCTGGGGAGACCTTATAGCGGCCTTCCAGTGCTTAAAGGGGGCCCACAAGAAGGCTGGGGAGGGACTTTTTACAAGGGCCTGCAGTGACAGGACAAGGGGTAATGGTTGGAACCTGGGAAAGGGCAGGTTTAGACTAGATACAAGGAAGAAGTTCTTCACCCTGAGGGTGGTGAGACACTGAACAGGTTGCCTGAGGAAGTTGTGGATGCTCCATCCCTGGAAGGGTTCAAGAGCATGTTGGATGGAGCCTTGAGCAACCTGGGGAAGGTGTCCCTGCCATGGCAGGGGGTTTGGAACTAGGTGATCTTTGAGGTCCCTTCCAACCCAATCGTTCTAAGATTCTACGTTTATTCAACTAATAAAAACAGTTTAAATTGAACAGTAATTTCTTCAAAAAACTTCTACAGCTACAAAGCATTAGATTGATCAGATCACATGTATTTTCTGTTGTACATTCATGTTAATTTTTTCAATCACCTTATATAAACTATCTTTTTTTTTTTTGGTCCACTTTATATTTTGGATGGTGGCTTTTCTTGGCCTGCTGATTGTGGTGATAAATTATGTTGTTGACTGAAGATAATATAGATAAAACCTTACTTCAGAACTGCATCCTATAGTAGATTGGACATTACTAATCCATGGATTTTAGGAGAGAATTGGGCCCAAAGATGAATTGGGTTGGCATCTTTTAGTAGTTGGTATGTCAGCAGTGGGTTTAGGAATGGTGAACCTTTGACAAGGCAGGGCATGGTTGGGTTTTGCTACTTAAATAACACCACAGTAATGCCTGATAATGTGCTGATATGTTGGATTAGGGTGTGTATGTGGGGTGATGGTCTTACTCTGATAGGTTTTCTAATTTTGAGGTTGCAGTGTTTTGATACTAGGATTGTGATAAGATACTTGTAAAAATCATCATAAACATGTAGATGTGGGAGAGATGGAAAAGTAAATTATGTTTGCCTAATGAAATAAGGTACCTCCCAGTATCCTACATATCTTGTGGGATATGTGACCATATGCAGTTTTAAATAAATATGTGAATAAATTATTAAGTGTAAAAGGAAATGTTTAATGGTTGGTTCTTTATTGCCATCTGTAGGCAATATGCCTTTAACATTTGTTATCTCATTTTGCCCAGCCAAGGATATTGGGATAAAACTGCTAACAGCAAGTTTTGTTGCATAAAAGTCCTTCTTTGACTCCGATAGTGAAAAGTGTTAGCTTTGTCTTTGATTTTAGCTTAAGTAACCTTGTAATATTTTTAGGGTGGTGTTCAGATGCAAACATAGCAAAAGTAACAAGCATTACTTGGCGGTTTTGTCACATGTCAGCCAGATACATGGTACGGACATTTTAACACAACTGTGAATGTTGACCACGATACTATCAAATAATGTGCTTTTTCAGGGTATATCACAGATAAGTTGGAAGAAACCTGTTGCATCGTTAAAGCTGGAGCCTCCTAGGGCATCTGAATCATCAGTTGTCTTATGAAACTATGGGGGGGGTGCATAAAAGAAGTAATTATGACCAGTTTTGATCCTCCCACACTCTGAAGACAGTGATACATAAAACTTTAGTCTTATGAGGAACAGCTGAGGGAACTGGAATTGTTTAGTCTGGAGAAGAGGAGGCTGAGGGGAGACCTTACCGCTCTCTACAACTACCTGAAAGAAGGTTGTGGAGAGGTGGGGGTCGGTCTCTTCTCCCAGGTAACTAGTGACAGAACGAGAGGAAATGGCCTCAAGTTGCACCAGGGGTGGTTTAGATTGGACATTAGGAAAAATTTCTTTACCAAAAGAGTGGTCAAACAGTG